TTTGATAAACAAGAAAAAATGAGAAGTGGTTCAAGTTGGTGGAATGGTTATGAAGGACAAGATATTTTATTTTTAGACGAATTTTATACAAAAATTGATTGGAATACCATGGTTAATTTATTAAATGATAGTAATCATAAAGTTCAAAGTAAATACGGTGGATTTGAACATATGACAGCTAAATATATATTTATGACAAGTACTAAACCACCTGAGGAAGCATATAATTTTGGTTTAAGATTAACTGATGATGATTCAAACAAACGTGATCCTATACAATTTAATAGACGTCTTGATTTTGTGATTGAATTTACTGGTAAATGGGATGATGATATAGAAAGAAGAACAACAGAGATAATATTTCGTAAAGGTGATGAGATAAAATTTCGTAATATGGAATGGGATGTTAAATATAGAAATGGAGAATTTACTATAGAAGAAATTATAGAAAAGGGTGAAATGTTTACAAAGGATATTGATGGTAAACATATAATTGAAAATGATACTGTTTATTGGCGACGGAATTTTCCAGAATTTAAAAAAAGATATCTTCAAGATTATCCCAAATGCAGAAAACTTTATCAATATAGAGAGATAAATGAAAATAATAAAAGAAGATGTGATGACTTAGAAGATGAAAATATAAATAAACGATATAAATCAACAGAAGTAATTGGTAAAGGTAGTGGTATGATAAATGAAAATATTAATAATATAGAGGAAGAAATGATTGAAGATATTCCTGCATTTTTAGTTGAAACTGATGAAGAGGAAAATGAAAATCAAATTAATGATAGCGATAGTGAATAATTTATTAATTTTATTACTAATAGTAAAAAGTATAAATAGTTAATTTAATTATTTTTTTTTTAATAAAATGAATCAACCAATTTTTATTTATACATATGGAGATACCGCAAGTGGAAAAACGGTTTATTTTCATAATACTTTTAACAGAAATTTTATTTATTATAATCATAAAAATAAAATATCAAGAACAAAATTATTTAAACAATCT